CGGCGTGCCAACGGGTAACCGATGCTCTGGTGGGGGGCGCGGGGTATGCCGGGAGCCAGAGGCGAGGGGCGCGAAGCATGCTGGGAAATGGAGTCCGGCAGCGCCCCGCTTCCTGGGATGGGACATGCCCCTCCCACACCCCCCCCCTTATGAGCCTGGGGCGGGGGCTCCTTTAACAGATTGATTTGCATATATGCAAACAGATGCCACTTTGAAGCGGGGAGAAATAAGGCTCCGTCCACAGCGCGGCTCCAATCAGCTCTTTATTGGGGTGTCAGCGGGGAGCGGGGGTAGAGCTCATTTGCATGCATGCAGATCTATGCAAATGACCGTCCCCGTCACTGCCGGGCGTCTTGCTCCCGGGAAAGCTGGCACAGGCCGCAGGGCAGGCAGCAAACCATCACCAGCCAATCGTCGCACACAGAGCCCTGGGGGGCAGAGGGAAGCTAGTGCCCCTCACGCCCGACCTGCAGCCCCCCCTACACCCCCGCTGCCCCCCACTCCCGACCTGCAGCCCCCCTACACCCCCGCTGCCCCCCACTCCCGACCTGCAGCCCCCCTACACCCCCGCTGCCCCCCACTCCCGACCTGCAGCCCCCCTACACCCCCGCTGCCCCCCACTCCCGACCTGCAGCCCCCCTACACCCCCGCTGCCCCCCACTCCCGACCTGCAGCCCCCCTACACCCCCGCTGCCCCCCACTCCCGACCTGCAGCCCCCCTACACCCCCGCTGCCCCCCACTCCCGACCTGCAGCCCCCCTACACCCCCGCTGCCCCCCACTCCCGACCTGCAGCCCCCCTACACCCCCGCTGCCCCCCACTCCCGACCTGCAGCCCCCCTACACCCCCGCTGCCCCCCACTCCCGACCTGCAGCCCCCCTACACCCCCGCTGCCCCCCACTCCCGACCTGCAGCCCCCCTACACCCCCGCTGCCCCCCACTCCCGACCTGCAGCCCCCCTACACCCCCGCTGCCCCCCACTCCCGACCTGCAGCCCCCCTACACCCCCGCTGCCCCCCACTCCCGACCTGCAGCCCCCCTACACCCCCGCTGCCCCCCACTCCCGACCTGCAGCCCCCCTACACCCCCGCTGCCCCCCACTCCCGACCTGCAGCCCCCCTACACCCCCGCTGCCCCCCACTCCCGACCTGCAGCCCCCCTACACCCCCGCTGCCCCCCACTCCCGACCTGCAGCCCCCCTACACCCCCGCTGCCCCCCACTCCCGACCTGCAGCCCCCCTACACCCCCGCTGCCCCCCACTCCCGACCTGCAGCCCCCCTACACCCCCGCTGCCCCCCACTCCCGACCTGCAGCCCCCCTACACCCCCGCTGCCCCCCACTCCCGACCTGCAGCCCCCCTACACCCCCGCTGCCCCCCACTCCCGACCTGCAGCCCCCCTACACCCCCGCTGCCCCCCACTCCCGACCTGCAGCCCCCCTACACCCCCGCTGCCCCCCACTCCCGACCTGCAGCCCCCCTACACCCCCGCTGCCCCCCACTCCCGACCTGCAGCCCCCCTACACCCCCGCTGCCCCCCACTCCCAACTCGCAGCCCTCTGTTTGGTGCCCCTCACTCCTGACCTGTAGCCCCCTCCCAAAACCCCCATGCCCCTCACTCCTGACCTGCAACCCTTCACCCTTGTCTGGTGCCCCTCACTCCCAACCTGCAGCCCCTTCCACTCCCTCTGGTGCCCCCCAATCCCCTCCCCCCCGGTGTCCTTCACTCCTGACCCGCACCCCCACCAATTCCCCCCGGTGCCCCTCACTCCCAACCCGCAGCCCCCCTGTCCTGCACCCACCTCGATGCGGTAACGCTCACGGATGCCGGTCCGCAGGGCCACCAGGGCCCCGGGCAAGCAGGGCAGCAGGCAGGTCTGGCCAAAGCGCTCCGAGACCCGGGAGGCCAAGATGCAGGGCACCAGCGCACCACACAGACCTGGGAGCGGGGCACACACCTCTGGGAACCCTGCCTTGGATATCCAACCCAGAGACCTCCCCCCACCCAGAGGTGCCCCTAGGGGACCCCATTCCCCTAGGGCACCTGAGACCCCCC